GTATGGTCGTGTAGGACAGTTCCTGCTGTGGTGTTCTGGCAGTGGGTTAACCAGTCTTTCAATGCTCTGGTCAACTACACCAATCGCAATGCTGCCTCCCCCATCACACCAAAGTAAGTTCCTGTGACTTCTTTCTTTGAACTTTACTCACTTGCAAGATATTGTAGGTTTTCAGAGAGTATACCTCTTAAAATGTGACTGTCCCGTGATACCTAGCGATTTATTAACAGATGTCTGGGAAGGAGCTTGAAATAACAGATAAGCTTCAGTAACAGATATGGGGTTTTTGTTGTGTTGTGTGTATCTTCTTTGCTCAGGCAGATTGGAGTAGCTTATGTGACTGCAACAAGCACAGCGCTGGTCACTGCGGTCGGGCTGAACCTCTACACAAAGGTATCACTCAGCCTCATATAAATAATTAAGGGAATACTCTATGTCTACAGACAGGATCTTGGATATGCAGCTGATTACAATAGAACACTTACAAACTGAATATTGAAATATAAATTAGTGTGTAAAAACAGTGTTGGGTGTAATTAATTACTTAGTAATTAGTTACTGTAATTTAATTACTTTTCCCTTGAAAAAGTAAAGTAAGTGATTACTCTTATTTTTTCTGTAATTTAATTACAGTTACTTCTTATGTAATTGAACTCAATACTGTATAGACTGTAGAACATGTAGCGTCTGGACCACTCAAACACACAATATATATTTTGTTTTTATATTTAACAAATACTCTGTAACCCCCCTCAGTTAACAAGCCATATGAGGACCCATGAACCCTTCCCCCCGAAATGCGTAACACCCCAGGAAGCCGAACAGGCTCCTGGTTGCATGGCAACCAACGCTGATATCACTGGGTTTATTGGCCAAAAGAATGCAAAGCAGGGAAAATCCCTGCATGTCCCAGGGCAAGAGGCAGAGTAGAAATGGACTTTTCTACTAATTAATTCATAGGAAAACCTTTCTTTGAATGAACACACATCATCCTTCAGGTCATTGGGTATATTATTGTCATCATGTATTTGGTCTTTGAAATTGTATACTGTTATGCAGACTTATAATCGAAACACCCTCCTGTCAGCTTACATATATATATCTCCACCATGTTTAGTATCTATGAATTCGCCTTCTGATGATCGAAACGAGCGTGTATATTATATATTGGTACATAGGCAATATATTAGTGTCCTGAGAATCTTTAGTAATTTCGATTCAAGTTCCATTTGCAAATTACCATGCCCTCACACAAAGGGTCATAAAAACTCCCCAGTATCTCAAAACTCCCACTTGGGATACCGGCCTTTCTCATTGGACAAGCCCATCTTGAGAGGCGGGGATCTTCTCCGACCTTAAAGGCCCACACCAGGGACCCTCCCCAGTCGGTGGTTTGTTGGAATTCTGAGAGGATGTGAGAAAAACGCACCCGGAAACCCTAAGCTCGTGCCAGGCTTCGGCCTTGTCTTTCCATTCATCAAGTTACTCTGACGCAAACTGGTTCTTTTCATCAACCAACTTCAGCAAGATCCACATGAACTTTCAGATTGCATCAAGCCTTTCTTTCAGACAGACGGGACATGCAAGTATCCAAACTTAGTCTTATTAATTGATACATGAGGTATCATCGGCACCTTTTTACAAAGGTGTGTTTGAACTAAGAATCTGACGTTTCCCTCAGGTGTAGATCTGCTGAATATGCAAATGTTTCCATAACTTCATTCCTTATTTCTCTTCTCTGTACTGAGTTAAGCTTTAACCCTTTCCTATACAAACTGTGTGTGTGAGTGTGTGTGTGTGTGTGTGTATGTGTATGTTAGACCAGTTTAAGTGTTTATGTGTATGTTAGACTAGTTTAAGTGTTTATGTAGTTAATAAAACCTTACTTGTATCACACTTGACGTTGTTCATTGTTTGCTAATAACTGGAGTCACTTAATCATGCAGATTTATGCTACAAGCTTTTGTAAAATTGTACAGTAAGAAAGTTATTTCCCTTAACCAGGAAATTAACGTTCTTAGAATTGACAAGACAGTTGACCCTGAGAGGTCAAGTAAATATCTACAGCGGATCTAAAATATTCATAATTAATTATAACTAGTTATGATTAATTATTCATATTTCCCATGAGCTGATTCGTTACATCAGGTTCATCTTTAATAAACAAAACAAGTGAAGACAAAACGGAGCACAAACATGGCACATCTCTCTTTCTTGCTCACCGCAGAATGTTCAGGACCCCAAAACTTTTTCTAGCTGCCCCACTTACGCCTGATAGTGCTATGTGTCTTTCACAATGCCCTTGAATCAAAAGAAATGAATAGTTGTACATAAAATAACAGTAAATAAAACAAAACCTGACATGCATCTCTACTTTTTTTTTAAGGGGGGGTACACAAGTTATAATCATGATTTCTATGTTTGCCACAAGAGGAGTCAGTGGAACATCTATGTGTTTGTCAAAAGTATTTTAATGAAAAACAAACAATGAAGAAGGAACTTAGAAAGGTGGGAGTGGAAGGAATAAAGCTTAAAAAAAGTATAATCACTTATGGATTAGAGAGCTTATTTCCTTATCTCAAAAGTACAGAACTGATAAAGACAATGAAGGGTTTCTTTTATGAAATAAGTAAACTTTGGTCCACACTCCAACACTGAAGGTGGCGATAATGCACCTTAACGCTGGTGCCACCCACCATAAAACAGAAGAAGAAGAATCAAACATCACTATTCAAGAATCAGCTACGGGAAATAGGTATAGTAGAGTTTAATGTTAAAAATATAGTAACATATGGAAATAGTGACCAAGGACGGAGATATTTGTTTAATTTTCTAAGGAGGACTGGAAGGACGAATTTAATTAAGATATAGTAAGTTAAAGTGAGACAGCAGATGGCAGTAATGCAACACTATGGATGCCAACTGACGTAAAACTCCAATGAAGAAGAAGACAAACATCACTATTGTGATGTACATTTGTGTTAGGGACTGTTGACTGTGGAATTGTTACACTGGAGAAATGGTGAGTGGTTTCTTTAATTGCTATTCACATATGCTAATATGATATTATAATACCAACATGCACTGTGGCCTGGCCCCATGTTAGCAAATTAGTCAGGTACATGTGTTAGCCAGGTACATGTGAACCAGCCATCTTGCCAGCTGAGATTAGTTAAGTTAATTAGTTAATTAGCTAAGCCAGGAACACACTACACAACTGTAAGGCTGGTTATGAATGTAATTTGATACTTAAAACTGATCACACCCAAATGTGTCAGAGCCATTTGCGTTCAGTTGGTGTTTACAGTCAGCATTTAAAATCATAAGTGTTTTCAGTTCAGTCTTAGAATGATTCAGTTAGTCGTTAAGTGTGTCCCTGGCTTTAGGTTGCATATCAGTATTTATGATTTGTTATACTTCCCAAATCAGATCATTACTAGACTACATTACTACCTCGGGATCAAATTTCAGTAACTATACAAGCATGTTTTGTGGAAGCATGGATGCATGATTTGTTTCATATTTTGTTTAACTAATAGTTATTTTCACCTGTTAGGTTGTTAGTAACTGATTGCAATGACATATTGTTCTCTGTGTTTCAGGATGTGTCAAGTCTTTCCAAGGGGACAAAGAAATCGAAGTTAAGAATCGAAAAGGAGCTTGGGACATGGGCTGTGACCTTTGGCCAGTGGGTGTACCAGTGGGAGCCCTCAACAAATGACGACACATGGTGCAGATGAGGGCGGGACTTCAAAAAATTGCAGTGACGAGGTGGGGAAGCAGCTATGGAAATGGCAAAAAACTAGAGGTGAATGTTCGGGCAGATAAAGCTCACTCCAAAACAAGAGTGAATCTGGAGTTGGCTTTCAGCCGCTGGCGAACACTGAAAAAGAGATGTACAGTCCTACCTCATTCTAAATACTGTCATCAGACACACCATTCATCTGTCAGAATTTCCACCAGGTGAGGAATTATTCATTTTGAATTCATTACAGTGTTTAACTTTTTATGGATTGTAATTTATTATGCTCCATTTGTTCATAGGATTAAGGAAGAATATGAAGAAAGGCCGTCAGCAGATAAACTGACAAACTTACTAGACAGGTGTCTGATAATGAAGACAGGTGTGTGTTATTGAAATTGTAGCGTCTCGACCAATCTGACACACTAATTTTTATTTGATTTAACAAATCAATTATTCATTAGATTAACAAATCGTCACAGTCCCCTCACTCAATAAACTGGATGCCAGGATTTCTGCAGAACACCAGGCCCCCTGGTCACCATGACAACTAATCATGATATCACTGGTTTTATGACCCCCCCCAGGAATGTGAGTAGAATAACCCACTCATTGTCCCCATAGGAAAGGCAGAGTAGAAATGGACTTTTCTACTAATTAATTCATAGGAAAACCTTTCTTTGAATGAACACACATCATCCTTCAGGTCATTGGGTATATTATTGTCATCGTGTATTTGGTCTTTGAAATTGTATACTGTTATGCAGACTTATAATCGAAACACCCTCCTGTCAGCTTACATATATATATCTCTACCATGTTTAGTATCTATGAATTTGCCTTCTGATGATCGAAACGAGCGTGTATATTATATGTTGGTACATAGGCAATATATTAGTGTCCTGAGAATCTTTAGTAATTTCGATTCAAGTTCCATTTGCAAATTACCATGCCCTCACACAAAGGGTCATAAAAACTCCCCAGTATCTCAAAACTCCCACTTGGGATACCGGCCTTTCTCATTGGACAAGCCCATCTTGAGAGGCGGGGATCTTCTCCGACCTTAAAGGCCCACACCAGGGACCCTCCCCAGTCGGTGGTTCTGTTAGGTTTCGATAAGATGTGAGCTCCAATGCTCCAGGACATCCTAAGTTTTTGTGCCAGGCCTTCAGCCTCGACTTTTCCACTCATCAAGATTCTCTGACTCAAAACTGGTTCTTTTCATCGACCCAAATTCAGCAAAGATCAACTGGAAACTTCAGATTACATCAAACCTCTCTTTCAGACAGATGAGACTTGCAAGTATCCAAACTTAGTCTTATTAATTGATACATTAGGTATCATTTTCACCTTTTTACAAAGGTGTGTTTGAACTAAGAATCTGATGTTTCCCTTCAGGCTGTAAATCTGCTGAATATGCAAATGGTTCTATAACTTCATATTCCTTATTTCTCTTCTCTTTACTGTTTAACCCTTTTAACCCTTTCCTATACCAACTGTGTGTGTGTGTATGTGTATGTTAGACCAGTTTAAGTGATGTTAGACCTGTTAGACCAGTTTAAGTGTTTATGTAGTATGTTAGACTAGTTTAAGTGTTTATGTAGTTAATAAAACCTTACTTGTATCACACTTGACGTTGTTCATTGTTTGGTAATAACTGGAGTCACTTAGTCATGCAGATTTATGCTACAAGCTTTTGTAGAATTGTACAGTAAGAAAGTTATTTCCCTTAACCAGGAAATTAACGTTCTTAGAATTGACAAGACAGTTGACCCTGAGAGGTCAAGTAAATATCTACAGCGGATCTAAAATATTCATAATTAATTATAACGAGTTATGATTAATTATTCATATTTCCCATGAGCTGATTCGTTACAAACATTTACATACAATACAATAGTGGAAAACACTATTGTATATAACATCAAAATTTAAAGTCTAACCTTAAAATGCATGATTTTATGTATCCTTCTCACTTTAAATACTTTGGTGAGTTAATAAGAATATTGGTAACACTTTAGTGTCCAATTCTCACTTTTAACTAGTTGGTAATTAGCATGAATATTACTGGGATATTGGCTGTTTATTATTACTTAAAAAACACATATTAATGTCTTATTCTGCAAGACCTTATTCTAAATCCTTAATCCTACCCAATACTTAAACTTAACAACTACTTTACTAAGTATTAATGAGCAGTAATTGGAGTATACTGAGGCAAAAGTCATAATTAATAGTTAGTTAATAGTGAGAAATGGACTCTAATCTAAAGTGTGACCAGAATAATTTATGTAGTTATCTATTATTTATTTGAAAGAATTAAAAGAATCGTTTCATGTCTATGTATGTATCATTAACTTGTCGAGTTTGATATAGGATTTAGAAAGTAATTAGTAATAAGTAATTAAATACTTTTTGGTGAGAGTAATTTGTACAGTAATCTAATTACACTGTTGAAGATGTAATTAGTAACTAGTAATTAATTACTTTTTTAGAGTAACTTACCCAACACTGTGTAAAAATAAACCGATATGTATAGTAGTAATGTACTTACAGTGGTATTTCAGGATACATTTTAAAATGCTTTACTGTTTTGAAACTACAGCCACAAATATTATTATATAGAAATTATATATTATAATTTACATTAAATTACAAATTATATAGAATTATATAGAATATCTAATAATAAATATATATTTATCACACACATCTATATACATACACAGGCAGTACAGTACATAGTACTAATAATAAAAACATACAAAACTAATTATATATAATAGACATTAAATAAATTCTATAAATATATTTACTTAAAAATGAATTATTATATATATATATATATATATATATATTTACTTGGATGCATACA